AAATATGCAGACCACAAGGGAGTGGCAAGGAATATTCAAAGTGATGAATAGCAAGAACCTATGACCAAGATTACTCTACCCATACCCAGCAAAGCTATCATTTAGCATTGAAGGTCAGATAAAGAGCTTCCCAGATAAGAAAAAGCTAAAGGAGTTCATCATCACCAAACCAGTATTATATGAAATGCTGAAAGGTATCCTTTCAGAAGAGGAAGAAGAAGAAAAAGGTAAAGATAAAAATTATGAACAATAAATACATATCAATCAGCAAGTGAATCTAAAAATCAAGTGAATAAAAAATCTGATGAACAGAATAAACTGGTGATTATAATAGAATCAGGGGCATAGAAAGGGAGTGGACTGACAATTCTCGGGGGAAAGGGGTTTGGGGGGTGAGGGAAGAGACTGGACAAAAGTCATACACCTGTGGATGAGGACAGTTGGGCAGGTAAGGGCAAAAGGTGGGGTGGGAACTGGGTGGAGGACAGCTATGGACGGAAAAAAGAGGAACAACTGTAATAATCTGAACAATAAAGATTTATTTAAAAAAACCACCCAGAAAGTATAAGAGTAATGAAAATTCCTTAAGAAGGACGTTTTAATGTTCTCAAAGCCTATAGAGCTCTTTGAGGGTTCCATGAGCTCAAGACTATAGTCATACCTGGGTTTTCGAATGTCTCCCATCTCGAACCATTTGCCAAATTGTTCATGGAAAAAATGTCTCAGTTATTGTACAAAACTTCAGTTTTCAACCTGACAGCCCTTTCATGCTGATACATCAGCACGCCAAAAGTGTTCCCTCAAGCCACAGACAAAGGAGAGAATGCTAGTCATCTTACACTAACCCTCACATTGTTAACATCTCCTGAAATTGTGCTGTGAATATTTTTGTGTATATTTATTTATTTAGCTTTTGTTGCTAGCAAAATGGACATTAAGCACAATTTTAAAATATAAAGAGGTCCTCAAGAGTGCTAATGTTGCTAATGGTATTAAAGTCACTGATCACAGGCAATTAAAGGTAGAATAACTTATTGATTTGGATAGTGACAGCATTCTGGAGGCAGTGATATGTTAAAAAGGAAAGATGCTGCACCAGTGAAATGGGTGCTGAAAGTGATTCATTTAAGGCTAAAATTGGATAAATTTAAGAAAAGAGGTATTTGTTGATATATTAAACTAGAGGCCCGATGCACAAAATTCATGCAAGGGTAGGCCTTCATAGCTCTGGCTGCCTCAGCCCTCCCAGCCCCAGCTGCCTCGGCCCTCGCAGCCCAGCTGCCTCACAGCTCTGCAAACCTGCCCCCTGCCCACTGGTTGTTCCGGAAGGTTGTTCTGGAAAGTCATTCCACCATCTGGTATAATTAGCATATTAGCTCTTTATTATATAGGACTGCTTCCACTTTCTAGCCATTATAAATAATGCTGTAAATGCCAAATGGTTTCTACAGTGGCTTCATCATGTTGCATTTCTAGCAGCAATCTAGGAATGTTCCAATTTCTCCACATCCTGAACAATACTTGTTATTTTCTCTTTTTCTTTTTTTTTTTTGCTTGTTTTTGAATT